CACTCCTCATCCCCATCCCCCTACTCCCTCCACTCCCCCCACCACCATCCCTGGAGGGGTCACTCCTCATCCCCATCCCCCTATTCCCTCCACTCCCCCCACCACCATCTCTGGAGGGGTCATTCCTCATCCCCACCTCCTCCACTCCCCCCACCACCATCCCTGGAGGGGTCACTCCTCATCCCCATCCCCCTACTCCCTCCATTCCCCCACCACCATCCCTGGAGGGGTCACTCCTCATCCCCACTCTCTCCACTCCCCCAGCCACCATCCCTGGAGGGGTCACTCCTCATCCCCATCCCCCAACCCTGTCCACTCCCCCACCACCATCCCTGGCAATTACTCAGATGCTCCCCTCAGAGTTCCAAAAGCTTCCCCAAAGAGGCTACAGATGGAGGTAAAATCACTTCTCGATTTAAAGAGTATTTGCGGATGCAGCCTAATCCTGTTTTCTGTAATTGTGAAATGCAAATGATCCTGGTAATATATGTACTGATCATAGAACTGGAGATGACTTTTTTTTTTTATTTTTGTAAAAAAAAATGTTTCCCAGAATGAGAATCCAATCAAATTTTAACACTTGGTGAAAAAATTCATTCAGTTTAACTCAGTGGCATCAATAGCAAATCAACCCACTGGCTAAATATTGAAGGAGATCTCAGCTCATCAGGAATGCGTGAGGAGCATCCAGTTACCTGTACCCCGATAGAGCAAATGTTCTGGTTTAGCTATCCTCTTTGTAACAAAGGTCATTAAACGTCCGAGCAGCAGCTTAAAATTCCTGAAGTTTGAAACCCACTGTAGCCACCTCTGGTCTTTAACGTAAGCAGACTCCATTTCCATTCAGGAGCAGAGTGCCCGCCACTGCACAGCTCAGCTGTGTTTAACATCCTAAGAAATGGAAATGCATAATTGGCTTTATGGGATTGCTTCCAGAAACACTGGAATTTTGTTATTTATTGCTTTTTATACCACAAAAAAGGGGAAAGCAGCCCCAACATCTCTGAATGTGGATGATGGCCTCCAAAGGAGCTTGACGTAGCTTCTGCTCAGGGGTCCTGTAGCCCCTCTTTCCTCACACCGACCTCACAAAGAGCAGAAGTGGTCCCAAATGCAGAAAGCCAGCCTACCTTCAGGACCTGTTCTAGGTTCTCCAGCTTGGCTTGGAGCTGGTGTTTCTCCTTCAAGGCCAAATCGCGCTCTCTGGTCAAGAGGGTGAGTGGGTGGTTGAGATGCACATACTCTGCCTTCACCTGCAAGCGGAAGGAATGGAGACAAGGAGGTTATCACAACCTGCCTAAGAGCTGGAGCAGGCATCTGCCTCCAGCTGGTATCCATTGCTTCCTCTTTAGGAGGAAAATCTTCAATTTCCTCTTAGAGGATTCTTCCCTTCCTCCTTCTCCATCATGGACTGGGTCCACTCCTACTAGGGGCCACTACACATGACCAAGGGCTGACCAATCAGCAGACTATCTCCGTCTTCCTCCTGCCCACCTCCACCACAGCCTCAGTGATTGGGTCAGAGTTGCAAATGTGCCACATGCCTGGCCAATCAGTGTAATCTCATCTCCTGGATGTAGTGATTGGTTGGGGAAGTCACATGACCCAATTGCATTCTGGGGGAATGAGATCCTGTACTAGTATAGGAACGTGGAAGAACTCTCCCTTTTGCCCACTGGACTTGGAAAGTTAAAGACAAAAAGCTGGAACTACTGTGGCCTTTGTCATCACGAGGGAAGAACCCATCTGAGAACAGAGCCAATGAGATAAATGCAGAGACACAGAGGGAAAAGCAGGATCCCCATGGCATCATTTGAGCACCCAGATCAAGCTGAGCCTGAAGCTAATTATCTTTTCCTTTTCAGTCACTTGGACCAATAGATTCTCCTTGTTTGCTTACACCAATTTGAGTCGTCTGTCCCCTGTAACTATGAGAGCCCTAACAGATACAAGTGTTTTCCCATTGTGTAAGCATATTGATTCTTGTCTAAAAATTTTACCTCATCTTAAAAGTGAATAAAAATGCCAATGAAATTCCACATGAACTAGAATGCATTCCCCCAATAAATCCAAAAAAACACATAAATTCCATTCTTAGGCCACAACCCCCAGGGCCAAGCTACAAGCTGATCGGGAAGGGAGGCACCACGTTCAGTCTCTCTCCGCTTCGAAACAGGTCAGGGGATGCTATCAATGAAAGAAATCACCAAGGTTCCTTTCCCATTCATTTTTCAATGTGGAGGCAACATATTTTAACCCAACAGCAGCCTTGTAATTTCTTTTTCTCCTCCCCAAGTCTCATGATGTGAATTATGGCTTCAATAACAGACTAACACAATGCCACGCTTGTCAGCTGCAGAAGTCCTTTCCATTTCAAATACTTTCTGTACTGAGTGTTAGTTTAACCTGACAACTTCTGGGGCACCAGAAGAAAGGCAGGCACCCACTTGGCATTCCCGAATGGGAACAGGGTTACAGGAAAGCTGTTATTAAGAGGTCGTACAGAGGTCTCATTCGAAGGAATATTTTAATGCCATTTTGCTGCAACGTGATGTTATCAGGCAATGAACTTAGAGAAATAATCCAAATGCCCCCGGTGAAAATGTCACGACCTATTTGAATTAAACCATCCTCACTCCTGAACCTCAATACCCCAGGGTGCAGGTTTGCAGAAAGCATCACTTCTTGTATCCTAGCTGTTCAGGAACATTAGGACTTGGGAGTCATGCTCGAATGCTCCTAAATTTAGTCTCACACAGCGACCAGCACCATCTTTCTGAAATACCTGCCAGATCTTGCCTCTCCCTGCTTGAAACCTTCTAAGGTTTCCACAGAATTTAGAATAAAATCCAAACTCCTTGGTGGTCTAAAAGCCCCACCCACCTGCTACCCTGTTGCCACCATGCTGGGGACACCCTGGCCTCCTTCTGTCCCTTAAACAGGTCGAGCCTCTTCCCACCCCGGAACCCTTGCACCTGCTGATTCTGTTGCCTGCAGATCTCTACCCCGCCCTGCCCCAGTCTGCTCAGGTCTGGCTCCTTCTCATTCGGTGTAACCTCAGACAGGCCTTCCCAACCCTTGCAAGGTGACGAAACCCTTGTCTCCACCCCCCGCCTCCACGTCCCTCCCTCCCACACCGCCATGCTTCGGTGTCCACGTGTGTTCGGTACTGTCCTCTGCGGCTGTTTGCCTTCTTCCTGTGGCTGCTCCTCATTGGAACAGAAGTGTCATGAAACAGAAGTTTTCTTCTGCCACGCAATTTCCCATCGTCAGAGCCCAGAGGACCGCCTGGCAGGGAGTCAGTGGTCAAGCAAGACTTTTGTACTGAGTGGAATGGTGTTGAGGAAAGTTCCAAGAATGGAAAGGTGGCCCTGGCTCCTGGGTGGACTACTGCTGTTAACTCTCCCAGACCCAGGCCCCACCATCATCCATCCCTCTTTGTGTCCCAAGAGGCTCATCCTCACGGCCTGCACCCCCCGTACCATCCCGGCTTCTAATCAGCTTGCCCAGTGGAAGACATGATGGAGAAACTATGGATCAGCATGACCCCTGGCCCCCGGCCCTCCCCAGCAGCCTGCAGGGGTTACTCTGAGTTACTCCCCTGAGAAAGACCGCTGGTGAGCCTGGCCCTTGGCTGGAGGCCTGGGAACTGGGATCTGGGGAGAATTCCTACATTCCTTCATCGATTAGGGCAGCTTCCCGCATCGAGGCCACTTGAACAAGACGGTTTGTGCTGAACACCTTTCCTTCTGGGACTCTGGAATTGTGGTATGTGCTGGACAGAGAGAGCCCATGTGACCAGGTCCCCATAAAAACTCTGGTTGCTGAGTCTTTAATGGGCTTCCCTGATAGATGACATTTCACACACATCACAGCTTGCAGCTGTGGGTCCACTAAGCGTCCTGTGTGATTCTTGGGAATCCTCTTGGAAGACGACCTGGAGGGCCTGTACCTGGTCTCCCCCTGGCTTCATCCTGTGTGGCCCTCTCCCTTTGCCACCTGTGCTGTGTGTCCTTTTGCTGTAATAAGTCACAGCCCTGAGGGCGGCTGCACACTGAGCCCTGCAAGTCCTCCCACTGGGTTGTGGAACTGGGGTAACCCCCAACAGTGTCCTCTTATGGGGAGGGCCTCTCCCACACCCTTCTCCTCATACCCATAGCAGGTGGCCACGGTGCCCAGCCTCTGCTGGTCTCAGACTCCCAACCCCCTTTGCAGGTGTCCTGCCCCC